CATAAAGAATAGCCTACATTTATCCTTAACATCCATCCATCGTCTTTACCCGCTTGTCCACACAGGGTTGTGGGGAGCTGGTGCCTATTTCCAGCAATCTCTGGGCAATCAGGCGGGGTACACCTTGGACAGGTTGCCAGTTCATTGCAGGACAACACAGAGACACAGGACAATCAACCATGGATGCACACTCACACCCAAGGACAATATTACAGAGACCAATCAACCTGACAGTAGTGTTACTGGACTGTGGGAGGAAGCCGGAGTACCTGAAGAGAACTCATGCATGCACAGGGAGAACTTGCAAACTCCTTGCAGATAGACCCCAGATTGGCAATTGAACCCAGGACCTCCTTGCTGCAAGGCTGCGCGCTAAGCACTGTACCACTGTGCAGCCTTATCATTAATATTCTAAAGTGTCCCTCAACTATATTCAGTGACTACATTATGTAAATAAATAAAAAAAAAAAAAAAAAAACTACTGCAAGCTTTTGCTTGTTCAACAGCATCAGCATCTCAAACAGGATAGCCTGTTGTGGTCCTTGAAATAAGCTAATTGTAGTCGTTTTATTTATGGCTTGTTTGTCGGAATATTTAGTGTTATTATAACTGCCAGTTACGACTACTTATTTACTGATAAAACTGATAAAATCCTAGGCTATTAAGACTGAGTCTGCAACAAAATTAGAATAATTTTCATTCCCAAAGATAGTGCCCAGGAAAATAAATTAACTTGGATTTAAACGCCTCTTGTGTTCAGTAATGCACGGTAAAAATGGTTTACGATATAACCAGTATGATTTTGGCCTGTGATATAGAATGATTTACTACCGGTATAACGTCCAGAAAGGGTCAATTTTCACCTACATATTGACCTACATAGTGACCGGTCAGATACAATTCCATTTTCTAAGGGGATGTTCTATTATGTCTTCTAAAGCCCAGAAGATTCTGCAGTGCTTGTTGACATTACATGAAGACAGTCTTGTCTTCATGTTAGTGCAGCTTTTGTTTGCTAGCCAAGTGCATCAGCGAGCGTCAGAGTCTGTAAAACCCACTGGACCTTTAAACAAAAGTCAGTAACCAAAACAGAATTTCATATGGCTTCAGCCAGTTTGTTTCTACATCTGTAACAGTTTTTACATGTTGATGTTGTTGCAAAATGGCTTCAATTTTCTTTTATTAAAAACAAATTCTAAAATCGATGATATAATTAGAAGAAATCATAATTAGCTTAATTTGGCTCAGTGGATTCTTCACTTAAAGGCATTGTTATGATGAAAATAAGACATCACACAGGATTTTGCTTTATGACAATGCAGTTTGGAGGAAAGAAGTTTGTCTCCTATGTGTTTATCTGAGATTCCTCTTTGTGAGTCCTTGTGCAGGAAGAGAGGTTTCCCCCCAACATATAAACCATGTTTTTTGGTTAAAAAGCTTTTTACCCAAGACATACAAGAGCTGAGATTACTCTAGAGAGCTCTAAACGTGCTCTAAATTTGGGGTCAAAGTAGGTGCTGCTTATTTGGGACAGCAGTAGCTCAACAGGTTGAGCGGGTTGTCCAGTAATTGGAAGGTTGCAGGTTCGATCCTGGCTCCGGACAGAGAATTCTGCTGTTGTGTCCTTGGGCAAGACACTTAACCCACCTTGTCTGCTGGTGGTGGTCGGAGGGACCGGTGGCGCCTGTGCTCAGCAGCCTCGCCTCTGTCAGTGCGCCCCAGGGCAGCTGTGGCTACATCATAGCTCATCACCATCAATGTGTGAATGGATGAATGATACACTGTAGTTTAAAGCGCTTTGGAGTCCTTACTCTGAGAGGCGCTATACAAGTGCGGGTCATTTATCATTTATTTGGGGTTCTGATTTGCCGCTCTGGTTTTCTGACATTAAAATTTGATCCTTTTAAACAATAATGATAATAACATTAGTGATGATAACACTTTTTATTTACATAATAGCTATAAAAAACCTGACTGATTCTGAATAATCCTCAGTTTCTTATCTAAATACTTTGTGTTTGGCCTTGAACTCTCAGCAGCCAGAATTGGTCTTTTAATCAGTGGTGTGTGCTTGATATATACACACTCATTTAATCATAAATGGACTCCAGTTTTGAGCCAGACCTGTCTGTCTATCGAGTTGTCTATCGAGCGGTTGGTCTGTCTATCAGTCGGTCTATCGACAGATCTATTAGGCACCAGCCCCCTGCGACCCTGCATGGCTAAGCAGTACAGAAAGTGGATGGATGGATGGATGGATGGATGGATATATTGGTGTTGACAGATAGCGGTTGTCGACCATAACAGCAATATCAATATCAGTATCGGCCCAAAAATTTCAGATCGGTGCATCCCTATCTTTAAATAATCTTCTTGAGCCGGTATGTGCTAAAATGATCCTTTACAAGGTTAATGAAAAGTCACTAAGACCCCCACCGCCCCATGGCAATACCACACTTGCAACTTCAGAGTGCGTTTCGGTCCATGTTGGACTTGGAACGTACCTGGCACTGCAGTCTGCTTCCAGCACGTTTCCTGCATGTTTAGATCATGAACACAGCACATTTGTTTGATTTAGGGATCACTCCTATAGACACTAATGAAGGCTAAGGAGACATTTCAGCAGTCAGATGAAAAAGACAAATGTCCAGCGAGGAGATAAGTTTCACTTTTGCTTTGACCACAAATAATTAATAACGGACACTAAGGGTTGCTAAAAGCAAGTAAACCTGCCAAGTATCCATTTAAAGCATTTTATAAGTTTTGTATCAAAAATTACAAAGGATAAAAATAGTGTATTTTGTCATCGTCCTAAGGAATATCGATTATGGCTGCATATCGAATTTTCCACTTCAGTTTATTTCCTTGAGGCTTAAGAGAGAGGCTTTTTCAGTTAATTGTTGTTCAAAAGCACCTGAAAAATGGTAAAACTTCATTTTCTCCTCTGATCTTTATTCTGTTCAATTCACCAAGGTCGGCATCTGACTGAGCTAGGGTTGTCACGGTAACCGGTATAGCGGTAAACCCCGGTAAAAAAGTTGACAATAAAAATAACCGTCCAGTTTTTAAAAAACTATATTATCTCGGTGGGTTTACCGTGGCCGCGGTTTCGGCGCGATGACCCTTACCAGCCACCGTCGCTTCAGCTGAAGTTCCCGCGGCGCGCGCACACACTTTTTAGTTTGCAACGGCACCAAAACTTTGAAGCTGAAATAATGGCCGAAGGAGGCGACGGCAGCGCCCAGGACATCCATCAGCCCTCAAAGAAGACTAAATCGGAAGTATGGGCATATTTGGGATTTCTGAAAAATGCTGAGGGACAGTTAATAGAAGACGGCTATCCCGTTTGCAGAACGTGCAGGAAACAAGTGTCTGCAGAAGGCAGCAACACTTCAAATCTCATGGCACATCTGCGTGACGATCACCCACGTCTCCACAGCCAGTGCAAGGTAAGTTAACATTAGCATTTTAGCTGAAATGCATGACGTGAGGACTTTTGGTTGAGGGAGAATGCAACGAGTCACTATATCCTGCAGCCGCAGCGCCCTCTGCCAGCATTTAAACCGTGTCACGGACACCCTGTTGCTGGATGAAGCATCTTATTTGTTGATGATGAAGAGAAATATACAATTAGTTCCTTGTCATGGATTTGTTTACTTATTCAATGCCATTTATACTTGAACATTTGGATTTGATTACATAGTGTAGTAGTTATTTTAGTAATTTCTTTAAAGTGGATATTTATTTTAAATACATATTTTTTAAGGTTGACTTGTACAGTGCTCAAGTCAAGTGTGGACTGGAGTTTTAGATTTTCATTTTGATAATGAAGAAAACAAGTATATGAGAAAACAAGTGGTGTTTTTTTGATTTGTTTACATATTGTTTATGTTTTGAATGTTTGGATTTGTATAATTTAAACCTGCACTGACTACTGTAACAAGTTCCAGAAAAATAAGCTATTTGTTCCTTTACTTGTGAAAAGTTGCACTTTTGCTAAGGCTTTGTGTTATTTTAGGTTTAATAAACACTGTTAAACCTTTTCAGAACTATTTCAGTTTGTGTAGAACAGGACTATCAATGCTTTCTGAACATATGCAACACCGTTTAAAAAATACCGCGATAATACCGAAAACCGTGATAATTTTGGTCACAATAACCGTGAGGTTAAATTTTCATACCGTGACAACCCTAGACTGAGCTCCATAATTCACCCCACTGTCCCACTGCTGCCAGACTTACACGGACTGCTACAGATCCATCTGAAATGTTGGCTGCAGGGCATCATTAGACCTTTCCTGTATTCCCAAATGACAAAGAAACATGAGAAATCTCCTCGGATAGCAGTTATGTGTTTTACATCAGCAGTGCCGCCACAGGTCGAAGGACTTGCAGATGTGTTTGAGTAACTTCAGGCCCGACTTGATTCCATCCGGGACTGAAACAGCTGGGGAACTTTTCTTGGCTTCCTCACCTGCTTGGAAATTCCCTGTAAACCACCAGTTATTCTAAAACCTGTGTGTGTGTATGTGTGTGTGTGTGTTTACAAGTGTCTTTTTGTTGCATTGTAGTTTAGTGTTTTTTTTTTATTTCCTCTAAAGAGGGAGGACATTTCTGCTCCTCAAATTAAGCAACCAGCATTTATGGTCCAAGAGTGGAAACTCAATTACTGGCTACTACTGTAGGATTCTGAAATATGTTCACGGAATCCATCAATTTGTTGCACGGAAGCTGTATCCACTCTCTGGAATTACAGAAAATTACTCTGAACATTTTATTTCATTCCTGCCAATCAGGAACATCACTAACGATGCCAAATACAACACCCAAAGAAACGGAGATCCACCATAAGCACTCCTCTGAATGAAGACACTGTAGCAGTTTGACGATAGAATAATCCGTGTTTGATTTGGCTATGCTAGGGTTTCATTGTGCCATCAGGACTAAGTGTCTGTGTGGTTTTGTGCGTTTATTTTTCTTTTTTCTCTGTTTCTTTCTAGCTGCCACAGAGGGGAGAGTCAATGGCGGGGAAGATTTCTTTCAGAAGGTGAGTGTGTGTGTGTGTGTGTAGTCTGCTCTTGGATGATGTTTGCTTTGTCTTTGTGTTTTGTTCAACCCTACTGAGGGGATCGTCTCGCTTGATGTCAGGTGATCACCCACCCACTTCTACTTAAACATCTAAAAAAAAAAAAAAAAAGAAAGAAAACAGTGGAACTTTACTGACATTAAATGACTCCGGGTCAAAAACACAGCTGACAAAACGCTCGTGGTCTTTCCCTCTTACTTAATGATAAACCAGGTTATCTCAGGTTGAGCAGTTTCAAACACAAACATGATTACGGCACTGCACAGTTTTTATTTTGGAGTTTTGTTAACTATCAGAGTCCTTCTGTATAAATAAATGAGGATTTATCTCAGTGGGTTTCAATTATCTTGAATATGTCTCTCACCTCCCTCACATTCACTGAGCTCATTGATCAGTCAAGTATAAAATTGCAAAAAAAAAATTATAATTTAACTTTTTAATTAAGAAGTGTGTGTGTGTGTGTGTGTGTCTGTGTGTGTGTGTGTGTGTGTGTGTGTGTGTGTGTGTGTGTGTGTGTGTGTGTGTGTGTGTGTGTGTACTTTATGGATTTAAGTGGACAAATTTTAACTTTAATGTGTGGATGTTTTTACATTGTGGGGGCATTTTGCTGGTCCACACAATGTGAAGCACATTAAAACTTGGTTTTAGAGGTATGGTGTGAATTAGCTTTTAGTTTAGGTTAGTTTAGGTTAGGGTTAGGAAAAGAATCCCAGTGGTTAAGGTTAGGGTATGGGTTAGGCATAGTGGAGTCACTAAAATGAATGGAATTCAACGGAGATCTGCACAAATGTACAAATGTGTGTGTGTGTGTGTGTGTGTGTGTGTGTGTGTGTGTGTGTGTGTGTGTGTGTGTGGTTGATAATCCTCTGTAAGCCAATAATATTGAAACTATTTTAGGATTATGCCAGTAATATTACTAGACACAGATATGCTGATATATTGTTTCGAAGGTGCCAGTTTGTTGTCATCTGTGTGTAGAGGAGTCTTGAGCTGAGCTTTCTAGGCTGTTTGATTTTCAGAAGTAGTAGTTTTGTTCATTAGAACCCTTGAAAACTGAACCAATAATTGTCCAAACCTGAAAAAATACCCAAACCTAAAGAGATTTGATAAAAAACAGCAGCAAATGGGTGGATTGGCCATCTGGCGTCTTAACGAGTGAGGAAAAAAGTGAAGCAGGAGATCAGTAGGTGGATTGGTGCTGCGTCTTCAGTGATGCGAGCGTTGTACCGGTCTGTCATGGTGAAGAAGGAGCTGAGCCAGAAAGCAAAGCTCTCTATTTACCGGTCGATCTATGGGAAGTAACTTTAATCTGATTACTGATATGGAAATGGTAACGCGTTAAGATTAGTCGTTACTGGAAAAGGTGGTCATTTTAGAGTAACACGCTACTAAGTAATTTATTATTTGCATCGCTGGTCCCTACAGCATTTCTTCTCCTTCATCTTGGTGGACCAGATGCTTCTCTTTGCTCTCTATAATTAATGCTTCTCTGGTTTCTGGTCAGGTCCCTGCTTACTTTAAGAATGCTGTCATCCACCCGCTTCTTAAAAAACCGAGTCTCGACCCCTCTCTCCATAGCTGCTTCAGACCCAACTCTAAACTTCCGTTCATCTCCAAGATCTTGGAAATGGTTGTGGCTAAACAACTCACAGCTGCTTTTGATGAGCATAACATCTATGATAGCTTCCAGTCAGGTTTTCTTAGAGCTCATTCTACTGAAACAGCTCTTCTTAGGGTCTCTAATGACCTTCTGACTCACAATGATGCAGGGGACTGTTCTGTTCTGGTCCTGCTGGACCTGACTGCAGCTTTTGACACAGTTGACCATCACCTGCTACTGGAGAGGCTGACAGAATGGGTAGGCCTATTAGGAACTGCTCTGGAGTGGTTCTCCTCTTATCTCTCTGAGCGCTCCTTTTCTGTGGCCGTCTCCAAGTTTAGGTCCTCCACCACCTCTCTTACCCATGGCGTCCCACAAGGTTCTGTGCTGGGGCCTCTACTCTTCCTCCTCTATCTGCTTCCTCTTCAGCACATCCTGAGCTCCTTCAAAGGAATCTCCTACCATCTTTATGCAGATGACATCCAACTGTACATCTCCTTTAAGCCCCATGAGATGTCTCAAGCTGCAGCTGTTACACACCTTCTTAGACTCTATCAAAACCTGGATGGCTGGGAGCTTTCTACAGCTGAATGAAGCTAAGACTGAGATCCACATCTGTGCCCCAGACAAGCTGGTTCCCAAAGTCAGAGACTCTTGGTCAGCTTGCTTCTCACACCAAACCTTCTGTCAGGAATCTTGGCGTGACCTTTGACCCAGCTCTCACACTGGATTCTCATGTCAGTTCTCGTGTTCGCTCTTCCTTCTTCCATCTCAGGAACATTGCTAAGCTGAATCCCATTCTGTCTCGCTCTGAACTTGAGACAGTTCTCCATACCTTCATCTCCTCACGCTTAGACTACTGTAACTCTCTTTTCACGTGTCTGAGCAGAACCTCCCTGAACCGTCTACAGGTGGTTCAGAATGCCTGTGCTCGGCTTCTGACCAAGTCCTCCAAACACACCCACATCACCCCACTTCTCCTCCAGCTTCACTGGCTGCCAGTCAACTTCAGGGTTCATTGCAAGATCCTGGTTCTGGTCTATAGGGCCTTACATCGACACGCACCATCTTTTCTTTTTTATTTTATTTTATTTTTATTTTTTTTTACCGTGTCCTGTCTGGCTGTGAAGCAAGCAGAATTGATGTCTGAATGCTGGTGACAAGCCTTACAGATTTACTCTCAGGTGGAGCATCAAAGCGTTTGCTTTAAATGTCACGCCTGATACTTAAAACTTTATTGTTATTGTTGTTGAATGCATTGTAATTCCGACCAGACACGGAGACAGAGGTGAAAGAGAAAGGAAAAGAAAAGGTGGGGAGAGAGGAGGGGGGGGGGGGGGGGGGGTGGGCGGTGTTCCACAAAAATAAACAATGAACAAGAGTCTGCTTCTAGACCTGCAGAAAAAGGCAAAAAAAAAGGGACACAACAACAATACAACAAGATCTAGCTATCACTGCATCAACTTGATGAAGAAAATATATAATCAACATTGCTTAACTGAAGAATCACAATAATAAATCACAGTGCATTAAGTGCCCACCATAGTCTTAAGACCTGTGTTTAACGTTCCCAAGCCCATACTTTTGAGAGCACCATGTGAGCACCTGTGTGTGTACACGCGCTTGTTTATGTAAGGTTTCTCTATAGGAGCGTCCAACAGACAGTGCGAGGGATCACAGATCCGCCCCCCAAAGATGCGCAGGAGACGGGGGGAGCTCCAAGTCCCAGAGTTCCAAGCGCTGCCCCAGAACACAGGAACCCCAAGGAGACTGCAACCAGAAAGGCCCCCCCCCCCCGAGAGGCACAGAGGATCGCCCCGGGGGGCCACAACCAGCAGCCGGCAGAGTCCCGGGAGATATCAGCGGCAAGCCCACAGGCCCGCCCGCAGCCTCCCACCCCCTAGCCGGCCGAGCCCGGGAACCAGCGACCCGGGACCCAGGGGTGACCACCCCCGCCGGGGACCCAGCAGAGCCCAGGGACCCAGACCCCACCAGGCAGCCACCGGGATCTATCAGGCAGATGCCTGAATCTTAAACCCCCAGACCCGGTTGCCATGAACACTCAGGCAGACCATGGCACAACCCCTCACACCAGGTGTGGCAGGGGGAGGGGGGACAAAGATCTATATCATCAAGAGAGGTTCCAGGAGAGGGGAGGAGTCAAAGGCCCCACCTGACATGTACAATCATACACAAACACAGTCACACACTCCCTCCCTCATGCTCACACATGCACATACAACCCAAGACTTACAAAAATGCACGCTGGACACCCACTCATGCTCCCCATACACACCCTATTCACTCTGGTCCCGGTACTGCTGCACACTGGGTACAACCATCACCGGTAACCAGAGTTTGACCCTTTCTGCTGGGGTGCTGATGAGCAGGCTCCCCCGCCCAACGCCGAGCACAGCAACCCACCACCCCAAACCCCAACCAGACGGCCAGATCTCCCTCCTAGCCTCCAGCCCCAGGAGGCCTAGCAACAACAGAGGTGGCTAAGACCCCTAGTCTCCCTCAGCCTGCTCCAATATAGTGTTGTGTGATCATGAGGTGTATTCCATGGCTGTGGTGAGTGGGCAGTGCGGGCATCATCCGGCCTATGCCAGCTGGTGCCCCCGCACCACCCCACTTACACCCTCAGCCATCAGTGTCTAAGTGCGGTTTAAAATTGGAAGTGGGCACCGGCACCCGGGAGGAGGCTGAAATATCCCCCTGCCAAATGCCGTTGAATGTGCTCACTCCCAAGGCCCTAAGTGTGTGTTTGTGTGGAATGTTGTCAGTGGAAGTGTATAAGGTGCAAATAAAATTGGGGGGTAGGTTGCCACAGGAATGCAGAAATGGGGTCCATACCCGCACTCCCTGACTTGCCCACCCCCCAAGATCCTATGTGTATGTTTGTGTGATGATGTGAGGGAGCAGGAGGAGAGAAATATGCGGGGATGGGGAGGAATGGCTGGCTGGGCTTAGCCCTCCAGGGAGCCAGCTCCCCTACTGGCCCCAATAGGCACCTCTGTTGTCAAACTGCCACCCAGGGCATGGAGACCCCAGCCCATCCTGCCAGGGTCCAAAGCAGCAGCATTACAGAGCCCCACGGAGTCCGAGGGCACCAACCCAGCCCCACCCCAGCAGAATATCTATGCCCATCCCTGCATTTGCACAACTTCCAGAATATATAAGACATGGGACATCCAGGTAAGGTTGGGTCCTCCCCCTCCTGAACCTCCCCCCTCCCCTGTGATGGAACGGCAGAGGAGCCAAGGTCTACCTGAGGCCCCCGAACCCGGGCCAGGCACTGCTGCGTGTTCCTGCCTTCTTCCCGGCAGCATACATGTCAGGACCCGACCCCCAAGGCCCC